GAATTTTGGGGGTAGGTTTGAACTAGAGACCAGGATACACACTAAACAACAAGAAAACCTTGATTGGGAAAATTGCCCATTTATCCCTACATTGGCTGTCTGTTTTTTAACCAGTTACCAATCCATAAAAAGACAACCCTCTCAAACCATAGCTGCTAAGTTTATTCAAGAGCCTTTGATAAGAAATTTTGTCAGTGGCTTTTTGAAAATCCACATACACAGTGTGAATAGGGTAATCTCCAACTATGTGCCTGTTGACCTTTCCAGAAAGGTTGGTGAGACAGGATTTACCTTTGCAGAATGTATGCTGATTTTCCTTCAGTAAGACTTGTTCCTCTATGTGCAAAGAATGTTTTCTCTGATGACAGTTTCTACCAATTACCATTCATTCATGCATTCATGCATTTCCATTTGACTAAACTCCATGAATGTTACTCAGATGTTGTGGTTTGGTTTTAAGGCTCTACGCTTGGAACTGTTTGGAAAAAAATAAAAGTTTGGGCCTTCCCCAAATCATTCAGATGGAAGTGACTGGAGCAGCCTTTGGCGTTATCCAGAGATATATGAAAATCTAAGCCAGTCTTCTACCAAACACACACACACCTGCACCCACCATTCCTGATTGCAGACCATTTCAAATTATTTCTCTATTCTTTGATTCTTTTAAAACCCTCACTATTTTAATACAGGATGAAATTGTTTTAGTAATATTTTGAAACTGCCAGATTTTTTAAGAGTGTTGACAAAGGAACTTTTATATCTGTTGTCAGCAGAAGTGGCCCAAGGCATTTCTCTACCTGATGTATTTCATTTTGTTTGATGAATTTCACTGGAAAAGATATCAGAGGTGATAATTACTCATAACAGGTGAAAAGTTAGAAAGAGGTTAATTGATTCAAGTCTGAACCTGCATAACAGATATGCATCCTGCAAAATATATACTGATGTGAGAATTAAAAAGAAATGCTCTGCTTTCTCTGCCTAATCTGTACATCAAGAAAATGTGTGGTTTTCTTTCTATTCCTTACTGTAACTTGAACTGGCATGGTTAAAATTTGCCATCCTTTTTTTTTTTAAGTCACCTAAAGAAATTTAATTAAAACTTAACTTAGGAAAAATGTTCAGAGTGGAAACATAGACATGAATATTATTTTTCATCTGTCAATCTACCAAGGGATATAGCTGGCTTGCCCAAAATTCACTTTGACGCTTTGCACACTGTAAAGAATTGTGCCGAAATTACAGTAGCATTAAATCGTCCCACCAACTGGATCTCGCATGATTTTCATTTTACGCTGACGGTTCTGAAGTTTTTCCCAGTCCGTCTCTTTTCTGGTACGGTTTGAGCGGAGAGCTACTGTCAATACCGTCAGAATTAATAGCGTAGTTCAAGGCTCATTTTGCAGAAGGTGCTGCGGGCTGGAATAGCGCATCAGGAAGCCTTGGCATCTAAAGAACCCATCTTTTGAGCGTCTGAACTACAATTCCCATGATGCCCCAATTTCTGCCCGGGCGCCGCGAGGGGGATGCTGGAACAGCTTCCCGTGAGAGAGGTCGCGAGGGATGGTTGCGGAAGAGCTTTGCGATCGTGGCCTCGGCGCTTTGAGAGGGCGCCGGGATGGACGAGGACGGGTTGCCTCTCGTAGGTTCGGGCATCGACCTGACCAAGGTACCGGCGGCTGACGTGGTCTTCCGCGTGAGATGAGCTCCTCCCGCCCGTCCCGAAAGGCCGGTGCGAGAGCCGCTCCTCCCAGCTGGCATCGGGTGGGCAAGAGGCGGATGCAGCCAGGGGTCCCTTCCCGCGGCACTCCGCTCCCGGGCGCTCGCTGCCTCGCGGCCCGGCTCCCCCATCCCGTAAAAAGGCGCCTTTCACAGCAGCCCCGCAAGAGTGAAAGGAAAACATGTCTGCTAAGGAAGGCAGAAGTAAAAGTTTCCGATGAGGCCAACGCCGTGGCAGCCTCGTAGGGGGGCTGAAGGCTGAAGGGAGGACAGCCAGAAAGAATTGTGGTGGTGGTGACTTGTTCCGGGTGATGGTGCCTTCACATAAGCCTGGGTAGTTCAGCTGCAATCTTATACCCAGGTACAGGAGAGGAAACCTCCCTGAGTCACTTCTGGGTGGATACGTGTAAATGCATTGATTTATTTGTTTACAGGGCTTATATGCCACTCCAGTTGTTTCTGATTCTGGGTGGTATATGTGCCTGGCATTTGTAAATCAGGTTGAAACAATACATTATTTAAGACATTATTTTAAAAACCATCATAAAATACAGTAGTGTTTATAGGATTATACTATAAATCCTATACACTGAGAACATTAATCAAAGAGCCCCGAGGAGAGGGAATAACATTAGAACCTTGCAGCCCCCACAACTGCTGCAACAGGTCTTTGTGGCTTTCCTAAATTCCAGTAAGATTTGAATAGAAAGAAGCTTCCACATGAGCTGGACTCTAGTTCATATTGATTTGGTGTGTATTTTAGCCCAATACAAACAAACAGCAGGGTAAGGAAGGTTGATACAATGGGTAAACTTAAAAGAGGTTTAAACTCTTTTAAGGTGTTTTAAACTTAAGTTAAACTAAACATAGCCCAAATAATCTTCGCTGAGTGGACAAATCTCAAAAGTTTCCAAAACATTCACATTGAGAGGATCTTAGTGTTTGATGCTATGAAAGGAAAAAAAAACCCTAACATATATGGCAAGAAAAAAATTCTCTTTGATAAGGCATTCAATTTGATTGATTAAGCATCCCATAATAAATACCTGACTGATCTTTAAAACTGAGTTATTTGATAATGGTTTATCAAGTGGTTTATCACAAATGGTTTATCGCTTCTTTATCTTTATTGTAATGGTTGTTGGCCAATTTCTGTAGATAAGTCATGACATGGGAAAAATTATGGTATGTGTTTTTCTGCTTATATATTAAGCATTTCTCTTGCAAAGAATATGTTAGGCATCACAGATTCAGAGTCAATGACTGCTGTGGATTTTCACACGAACAAATTCCTTACATTTTTTCTCATTATTTACAAAAGTAATAAAGGATGTAGGATATGCTTCTTAGCCGAGTTCATTCCCTGACAGCAGTCTATAAAAACAGTATTGTGAAACTCTAATATACTTCCAAAATGTTTCCTGTGCCAATTTCAGGATCTGAGGTTTACAGTTTATATTTATTCAATGTCACTAATAAATAGCTTGGATTAAATCCAAGTTGAGCATTCATAACACTGCAGCTTCACTTTTATTTTTGTTCTTTAAACATTTTGACTGTCTCATCCTTGTGCTCTTCCATATTTGCATGTACAATTCTGGTAAAAGAATATGCTTATTCAATTGCTGCAAAACTGACAAACTACAAATTTGGTAGAAGATAAGGTTATACTTTTGTGCATCTTGGAACACTGCTTTGAAATAATAAATTATAACTCAACACTTGGCCAGTCTCAGAGTTTGAATGTAAATGTTTGGTATTTGCTTCATATTACAGAGATATGAAACAATGTTCAGTTGATCTCTCTTCCATGTTGTATTTTTTTCTGTGTTTTATATAATGCAGGTTCCAGCTATCCAACAAAAGAGGACAGTGGCATTTCTAAACCAATTCGTTGTTCACACAGTTCAATTCCTTAATCGATTTTCAACTGTTTGCGAAGAGGTAGTAGATGCCATACTGTAGCTTTCCAAAGCCAGTGTATATTTGCATTGCTCTATAATGCATGCTTATAGAGCTCTATAATACAGACATAATTTCATTGCTCAATCTCCACCATAAAGAGGTTAAAAAATGGGGAAGAAGAATAATCTGCCAGTGGAAAACATGAAAATGTCTCTGTATTCAAAGTTGGCTTGCTAGGCTTTGGCATGCAGTGCTTTGGGGCATATTTCTGGAAACTTGGTTTTCATCCTTTAGTTGGCTAAGTAATTATCAATTTTCATCACCATTTCAATATCAGTCTTTCTGGAGAGACATCCATTTTTATTTGTGGATGTGAAAAATAAATGGGAAAGTCAGAGTATCGGGAATTAATGTAAATTTATGGGGGATTTTTCTGTTAGGATTTTGTCATTCTTTTAATCTGTTAATACTTTGCAGTATTCAGTGATGTCTTGAGGTATTTGTGTCTCTGTAAACTCCAAATTGTCCAAGAGTATTATATTGCTTACCTGTATTTGTAATTAATTTTAAAAAATACTAAACCACCATATAGGATTTCCTCTAGAAGACTATTGGGATTGTTTATTAAAACCTGTTTGATAAATCAATGGAATCTTGACTAACAGTTTTTTAAAAGCACTTCCCAACTAATCTGTGCCTAACAACAAACTCTGGAACTGCTAATCATCATTGTGGCCATTTTCCTTTTGGCATTAGACTGGAGAAAAAAAAATCACAGTGGCCTTTAATGACAATGAATGCTAAGTTCTTTGTTTAATAGCATGTTTAGTAAATTTAATAGATTTATTTATTTATTTACATGTTTATGTTCTAAATTATCTTGCAGTCTTTGATTTCAGTTCTAGTGGGTGCAAGTGGCTATATAGGGTGCTTAGGGTTATCCTTTTCCAAAATGTACTGCAGTATCACTGTCTCTTTGAATTCACTATACTTCATACTTCAACTTCCATAATTCCCAGCCAGCTTAGGTCTTGGCTGAGTTGGCTGGGAATTAGGAAAATTGTATATCCAGCATATCTAGATAACACTGGATTGATCAATGCTGTTATATAGTACGTTCTAATAATCTGAAAGACATTATCTGTAACAGATTTAAGTATAGATACCTTCCGGGTTTCAGTGGAAAATAAAGAAACAAAATAGTGTGGACAAATTCTGCTCTGCGTCCTGAATGCCAAATAAAATTTCCAGGAAACAGAGCTTTGGTGCAGATACTTCTCTAAGGCTGTATATAATCTAATATACTTGAACAATGCTGACCTACTGTAAGGTTTATTATTCATTTCCTGATTAAATATTATTCATGTTCATTACTGGATGGAAAATGTGGAGGAGTTAAATGATACTGAGGAAATTGTTGAGTAATATTCTCTTCCTTATTCCCAGAAATTGTCAGCACTTTCCCTCCGTATTCAGCAAATTGAAACTATGCTCAATATTCTGGATGCAAAGGTTTGTTCCTGATATGCCTCTTTTTGCTGTGGTAGTTTGAACATTCTTAAATATATACTTTGTAGGGTACTGAGAGTAGATTTCATTTAGATTGTGTTTGTCTGCAAGCAAAAATGGGTATATATTATTTCAGTATGAAGGAAAGTAAAGGAAAACAGATGGGAAATAGATATATTCAGTAGTGCAAAATGGAGGTGAAGGTTTTGAGTGCATGTAAGGCCTGACGGTACTGGTGTCATATAACTGTAAATTCTGAAACATTGATAGAAATGTTTGTCAGATGCTGTGTAACCAGCACAAAGTTTGTATGCTCAATATTAAAATGTTGACCTGTGATGTGCCCCATCTTCAGTTATCTTCTGTGCCTGGCCTAGAAGATGAGATCTCAAACACCAGTGTTATGAATGGCTCTGTCTCACAAACATTGATAGATCCACAGACAACAAATGTATCGCCTAACCTGGAGGTAAATTAGCCTTGACTGCATTCAAAAGTCAAGATAAATCAGAATTATTTGAAAATAACCAAATCATTGGTGCAAGTTCTTTGTTTGCTCTTTCTGGTCTCAGGGACTAGTCAAACAATCCAGAACATTTCTATCCATCCTTTGTTTTGCTACCTTTTGTGTGAACTGGAAATTTAGGCTTGCTTCTCTTTAGATTCAAAGATGGTCTCCTTGGAGTCCAACTTGACTTTTGGTGACTTGTTAGACACATAAGTCCAACAGAGAAGTGGTTTGCCATTGCCTTCTTCTGGGATGCATCTTCAATTCCCCAGTGTTACCAACTGCCCTGGGATGCACCAAAATCCCATCTGGTCCAACCCTGCATAGCTTTTTGCAGTCAACTAAGGTTGACTAGATGTTGTTATCTAAGAAGTAACCATGGCTTATAATTCTGCAGTATCTGGAGAGAAATAGAATCCCTGATTCATAGGCATTGCTATTCAGGTTTGGGTAGCTGCTGCCTTGGCAGGAGGAGCCAAGCAGGAGCAATCAAATATCATGTAGAAGTTGCTGATAGAGCTCTAAATGAATTTAGCTTAATGTGATGTCAAAATATGGTAAAGTCTGCAGACATGTAAAGACTGATATGCACTGTTTGCTGTACTGCAGACCAGTGTACCTGAGTTGGGGCAACAGAGGACAGATGGAACTGGTGAAAATGTCACCACTGTAGCAAAGGATCCACGCTATGCCAGATACCTCAAAATGGTTCAAGTGGTAAGTCCCATTTATTTTACCAGGCTTTATCAGAAACACTCTGATTTCTATTCCCTAAAGCTTCCTATTAACTAAACTTCCTCTTTTGAGGTTAATTGTGAATGTAGGGTGAATTTGATGGGGTTTTAACATAGAAAGTGGTTTAGAAATTGATTTTGCAGTATATTGAGACAGTTTCCCTCTAGGTCTAGTTGTTCCAAAAGCACAATTATCTGTCATTGCTAGAAATATTATCTTTTCATTATGTGCCAAATATATATACTGTATGCACAGTCATGAACTATGCTGTCCTGCTTTAGTGTGTAAAGAAATCTCTCCAATGGTTTCTGTGATTGTTTTATTTATTTATTTATTTATTTATTTATTTATTTTTATTTATTTATTTATTAAATTTTTCAACAGCCCATCTCCCCCCAATGGTCCACAGCTGATGGAAACAGTGTTTATTTGTGATAGCCAACTTAAAGATCAGTTTAGCTTTTTGTATATGCCAGTGACTTTCCTGAAATGCATCTTTCCCCACTGTTGTTGACCTTTCCTTGCAATGTAAAATTGCAGGTTTTGATGTTTTAGAATACAGTTTAAGTATGAGAGGGACTTTCCCAGCCCCTGTATGAATTATATGGATTTTTAAAATACACCAGTGAATCCTTTTTCGGAGTCAGACCAGAAGAGAGGCCAGAACTGGCAGAATAGCTGGTGCTTTGTTTGTTTGCATTCATACCCACCACAATAAAAAAAAATGGTGGTTTACAAAATATTTTTTGAAAAAGACAACATTGCATTGAAGCTTCTTTAGCCCATTTACTGGTAATGCAAGTTAGTTAAACTAGTCCTGTAATTCTGCAAGCTATTCAAATAGAAACAGCTAAATGCAAATATACACACAGAGAAATTTTGAGTGATTGCTTCAGTGTAAAAATAATATGAAAATCACTCTTGCTTGGGTAGCCAAGCAAGCTGTCACCAGTGTGATGCTGTAATCATTTACCTGTCTTCAGTTGTGAAAGACCGTATCATTGCTTTGAGTCCACCAAAGAATGCTGTTGTTCTGAATTGCTATACAGAGGCATTAATAAGTTGGGTGAGATTCCATCAAGTTACCATGAGTCCTGACAAGGCAGAAATTCTGGAAATGTCTGTGGAAACACTGGAAATTGAGTAGTGCAGGATGGAATTCTGCTTCTCCTGGAAGAGTATACATATAATCTCCACTGTCCAATTTTGTCATTGTAGGCTCAGGTATCCTCAGTGATATCTAATGTCTTAGCCCAGAAGCTACAGCTGTTCCTAGGTGCAGATAGCTTAGCCGTTGTTACCTGTGCTCTGGAAACTATACATCTGGATTACTATAGTGTTCTATACTTAGAGCTGTCCTTAAAGACCATCCCAAACTACGGTTGATACAAAATGTTGTTGCCAGGTACCTATCAGAGATCATACAATACTAATCCTAAAGAACTGTGTTTCTTGCCTGTTATTTCTGTACCAAATGCAAGATGCTTGTAGTAAGATAGAAAGCAACGAACAACTTAGAACCAGGGTATGTGAAGGAATACCTCCCTAGTCTGCTCATCTGGGAGATCTTATCTCACCATAGATGAACTACATTTCTTGATAACTTGAGTTAAGGCTTTCTCTGATGACATATAAATGTGGAATGTCTCAAGTGCATCAGGAATAATTTTATTGACATGGTGATACATAGCTAAAACTGATTTGTTCCATTAGGTGTTGGTGAATGGCTAATGGCTACTATAGCAAATATCTGTAGTTTGTTGTTTTATGACATCTACCAATGGGAGTCATAAAGAAATAAATGTGTGCTTGCTTTTTTATACCCCCAGTTTAGGATAACTGAATTAGCTGACATTAGACCCCAGGTTGGTATTGATAGAAAGGATTGTTTATATGTGCATAATTAAAACATGCTTAATTACTTGATATTATAGATGTCTTATTTAACTATGTCAAGAAATCCTGTAAGGTTCCCCCCTTCCACCTCAAAAAGTTATGTTGACTTTATTATCAGATTAATAAGCCTGTTTCTTCATGGCTATTTCCAAGATGGTATAACTTGAGATATCTGTTTAACAACATATACTTCACTGGAGAATTCTGAAATAACAAATTTCCTAAAAGTTCTTTCCTTTTATAGTTTTGTGCAGAGTTTTCAGCTTCAGATTCTAGATGTGATTCTCTTCCCCAGTAAAAAAAATTGTATACTGTTTATTTAGTCTGATTTTTTAAGAAAAGTAACAGATTTTCCATTTGTAAGATATAGGAAATAAGTTCTGGATAACAGAGCACTGCCACCACCACAATTTAGTCTTTGTACTTCAGGTTACATTTTCCATATGGCAGATGGTGACTCCTAGTCATAAAAAATTTGCGTGCTAACAGTAATGACAGCTCGGTAGATTCCCACTCCTAAACTGTTCAGTTTAATTGTTTTTATTGGAGTTAGGTAGTTTTACATTAGAGCAAGAAGCTCCAAATACATATATGAAAGGAAAATATTAATCACCACATCAGCATGGCTCTTGCCCTGTTAGTCTTGACCACTCTCTTGCTTTCCTCAATGACAGTAGTACAGACACACTTCTCTGAACAGTAAGTTATTACTCCCTTCTTTTTAAAGTATTGTACTTACCTTGGCCCAAAGTACCTGGGTTCCATGCCAAAACCAACCACACTAAATTAACTACTGTTCATTTAGAAATCAAGGCCTCTTACATCCTTTTCAGACCTCCAGTAGACTTTGGAAATAAGAAATTGTCCTTTTTTTTTTTCTTTTTTTGACCTTTCACATGAATGATGTCAAAAGAATGTTCTCTTTGAACTTTGGCAGCAGAAACATGGGAGTAGCTTCTCTTGGAAAATCTCTAGCAGAGAAGTTTGACTTCATATTGCTCCCAGGTGTCCTACTGAAAAAATATGAAAGGAGAACGTTTAGTGGTTAATGGTCCACAAATATTGAGAGAATTTGCAGTGGAAAAGGCCTTTTCCCTTCATATGCATAATTGGCTAAAGTATACCATTGTGAACAGTCAATATTAAAATCTGGATGTGCTGCTAGAATTCAGATAGGCCTTTCTGAGTTAAGCATCATTTTCTTAAGAAACTGTTAAGGAAAGCTAAATAAAAATAGTTTATCAAAAATTCCTTTCAGATAAAATATATACAAGATTGGTGAAGGCAATTGCTGAGACTAGTTGAACATTATATACTATCATTTATGTAGGTTATACCTTTCTGTTCAGCTGGTGGAGTTTACCCTAGCAACATGTAAATTTATGATTTAATGAGAAGCTGGAGTTTTTTCTACCACCTGCAGCTAGCCAACTGTATTGGAAAGGATAGTTCCACTACAGGTATCTGTCTCCTAGTACAGGTGCATTTCACCTATGGAACCCAATAAGATTATTCTATCATGTTACCTCTGTCTGGAATCTTGCTACTACTACCATTTTCTTACATAATCACATTGGCTCCAGTGGTGGCATGGCTTCTATTTTACTGTCACATCAGTTGAAAAATGAACTGTTTCTTAAAATAGTGCTTTTGCACCATGTTTCATGGTAAAATAAGCAATACTATTAATTTGCTGTAAATATGTCTTAGATAAATAAAAATTGCTTCTTAATGCTTGGGAACACAACTGGACTTTTGTATTCTGATATGCATTGTGCAGCTAGAATGATGGACTAAGTGACCCTTTCATCTGATCCAACCTGGTTGCTTTCATACCTTTAAGACTGTTCAAAAGGTTGAAATGTTGGTAGGATCTTGGGAGGAAATTAGCTCGAATTTTGGTCTGTTGTTGACTTATTTGCAGTGTGTCCATTTTGTATTTTCCTTGCTGCATTAGCTGTTTGTTTCCCTTGGCTTCACTTCTGTGATAATCTTGCCAAATTCCAGCTGTTTTTACAGTAATACTTAATTTTGGCCCACATCATGCACCAGATATAGGTAGTGCCTGAAAAGCAGTACTGAGCTTCTTGCATTTATTTTGGGGTTAAAAGAAAGTTTTACTTGAGTGTATCCTATATCTATCATACTGGGATTTTTCTTAATTAAAGGCAAGTCTGTCCTTGTTGATGATCCTGGAATAAACCATAATTGTTTAGAATTATGGCTGCCTTCCCTAACTGGTACCCTCCATCCTAGCTGCCATCAACCCCTGCAGCATAAGCACCAGGTTGGAGAAGGCTGCCTGTAAATCAATCAAAATAAAATTTGTCATCAGCAATCAAAGTAATTGTCCCCATTTGGAGGCTCTTCCTTAAAGTTTTTATTGGTTCTTATGTTTGGGCTAGACCTCTTATGTTCTGGGTTTCTCACAGTCTTTTTCTCCTCCATAGGGTGTTCCTGTTATGGCAATAAGAAACAAAATGATTTCGGAAGGACTAAACCCAGATCTTCTTGAGTAAGCAGCAATATCTGTTTTGCTTAAACATTATTAACATGGAACATAGATGGAGTTGATATTTGGATATATATTCCCAAGATTTATCCTGAGATAATATGGTCCTCAGCAGAACAAAAGTTGTACAGCCATGCCCAACTGGTTGAGAAATATTGTTTTGAATTATGTGGAAATAGGCATGGTAGTTTGAATTTATGAAGACTCCATGGAATGCTCAGTAAGCCTGACAAGAACTCTGTGAAATTAACCAGTGTTATCTCCTTATTGCAGAATGGTGAAGTCAACTGAAAGTTGACCTAAACTAAGCAAGATGTGAACTTAGAACTTTCCAACTTGCTTACTTAAGCCATTTCACAATACCACTTATCTAGCCTTCCTAGATTTTACATCCAGAGAGAAAACTTTTATATAATAATTTCCTCCACAGTATCCCCAACTCTCTATGACATACCTATAGTACAGACCATCTCTTGCCTACCTAGCATTTTATTGATTAATTTCATATAGCTGATGATTGTAGGTAGGTGGTGACCTGGTTCACGCAATATGCTTTGTTTGTTTAGCTTTAGCTGGGCTTCTGTTTTGAAACCCCTTCGTTGTCATGTGTAATTACATTTCTAATGTCATGTCATGTCATAAGTTAAGTATGACTTAACATACTGTATGAGCCCAGCTGTTATCCAATTTCTCAGGTCCAGAAGTCATTTTTGCAGCTACGTGAAGGTACTCTTCTAGGTTCTGAATGCCTAAAGACATAAAAGTTCACAGTGTTGAGATTTCTTGCCTTTCTGTTTCAGAACACCAGATGCTTCAGTGCCTGCATGGGGAGATGAGACAAATGCAGGAGAAAGTTCTGATAGTGAATCTTCATTTAGTGACTAATGTTGTGGGCCTCGGTGGGAGAATGTTTAACTTTTCCTTAAAAGCACTGTCTAGTCTGTCTCTGTTAAATGCTGATGTACAAACTTTAATATGATTTCCTGAATTTCTTGAGCCATATGAAGTATTCTTTAAAAGCAGCAGCTTTGCACAGTAGTATTTGCATCACCTTCTACAGAATTTAGAATGAAAGCCTAGTTAAGTGAAACTGTCACAGAGTGCTCTTATGTAACATGTGGTGACCTTAACTTGGGTAAATGTTGCTCTAAGGATATTCAGGGTGAAGCTGAAGATGGGAATAGACACATACCCTTTTTCCAACTAAATTCTGCCACCCTGCTCATTCTTTTGATAATTCATAATCTTGTAAATTACAAGGATTATTTTTATGTCCCTTCCTGGCAACTGTTCAGAATTCAGTGAATGCTGATCCGTTGTTTCCATGCTGCAGGAGAATTCAAAGCACCATATTCTGGCATTGGGTTAGGTACACACATTCTGTTTGTTCCATGGTCTAAGAGTTGAGAATGGGAATAGGAGTGACAGGAAGGAGGACAGAGGACAAGAGAATGGTGTCTGTTTGAAATGAACGGGCATCATTTTGTTCAGGGTAAGCTACTAGATGTTGTTATACAGCCCTTCATTTTTTTTCTTAGAGGATCCTGTTCCAGCCATTTGCAAATGTAAAGTTTGGATAATAGAATTGTATCACTCTTACCCTGTTTGGCAAAGCATATGTGGTCTCTCATTGATTTCTTGTTTAGAATTTTCTTCCTGAGCATTACAGTAAATTCAGTACATAAAAGAACAGTTATAAAAAATGAATAAATTCTGAACACAACTGGAAAGACAATTTCCTAACTTTGAATGTGATAACAAAGTAATTGTAAATTGAAGTGGTGGTGTAACTAAACAACCCACAATATTGCCTTGTTTTGAAAGGCAGATACAGAAATGCTGCCATTTACCCACCATTTGTTTCAAAACCTAGTAGTTTCCTTATAGAGAAACTTGGTAAGAAGAGAATAGAGAGGAGAGATAGCCTTCTAGATATTTTTTTTTTAAAGAAAAAAAATGCCAGACCCCTTCATGTGTTAAACAATGCATATATTTTCAGAGTTTGGTCAGTTTCATCAGTAATCTTAATCTGACTAAAGACCATTTCACATGATAGATTTTGAGTATTCTGTAAATGTGCATATATGAGCCACATTTCCACAAGGCGCTAAGCCAGAATTTGAGGAAATGCTAGCTTATTATTGAGAAGCAAACATACTTGATACACCCTGTCTCCAATATTTTGTTGTGCTCTGCTTCTCCCAGTGATAGAAAATGGTTTCAGTACTATAATTGTCTCTGAGCTGGAAGTCCTAATTAGTCATTAAAAGTATAGTCTGTAGTTTGAAATTGACTTACAATTCCTAGTTTGTTTGGGAGTCTGGTTGAAATCTATCCTTATTCTTACCACTGCTAATGCATTTCTGGTTACTGAAGCAACTTCTGTGAGCAAGAAAAACCAAGAATCAGCTGGTGTGCTGTAACATGCATATGAACAAAAATCCAAAATAGTTTATCATTTTTGTGTTAATGTGTCTTCACTGGAACATTTGAAAACAGCACATTACTATTGTTCCATTCCATCCGTCCTTATCAGAGGACTGCTGTTGGCTGTGGCTTTTTTACGTGCAGTAAAATAAATGGATTGAAGCGGCCCTCTTCCCACACCACCCGCCTGAGTTTCTTCAAGGTGTGCTAACATGTCCTGTATATAACAGAAGCCAAGATGGCCATTATGTAACAATATCCACATTCAAGGAATCTCTGAAGTATGGTCTTCTTGGTCAGCAGAACTGCAGTTGCGGCTGTGAACAAAACATCCAGACCATTCAGTCTTGGCTGGAAGTGCAACCTATTTCAGAAAAGATCAAGGCATCTTGTTTCAAGCAACAGATCTAAAAGTGTAACCTGGGGATAAGTTTATATAAACTAGTATTATTCTTTGAAGTAGTAAATACCTTCAAACTGATCAATTCTTTTTGCCATGCTGCCTAATACCATGCACATTATATCCTATAGCACCTGGAACATAACTTTGTATTATCTGAAAATAAGCATTTGTAATTAAAATTATGTTTTGTAATTTAAAATGGTGGTTCTATTGCTATACATAGATTTTGTTTGGAAATAGCAAGCAAATGACACTGGAAAATCATAATTTAATTCTCAATGCTTAATTCATTTGTTTCTATGTTACAATCATATTTGTTGTGTGTTACTTCTTTTACACTTTTAGAGAATCACCTTTAAAATGATTTACAGTGTAAATGTAACAAAACCTGTGTGTTTGTGTGTGTGTAATATATATCTTTTAAGAAAGTCTTAAGAAGTGAACCCCTCTGTTCAAAGAACAGTGATCAGAACTCATTTGGCCATTAAAATACAAAACTCAGGTTCGTAGCATGGATTTAGCATGTACAAAAGGTTGTAACAAGATAACCAGAATACTCTCTACAACAGAATTGTGGTATTCCAGAAAAATGTCTTATCTTTGCATAGTGGCCTATCTGATCTGTTAAAATGGAAGAAACTGGAGAAGAGATGAACTAAACTTTCTTGGGGGATCTTTGCCTAACACTTTTTAGACCAGGGGTTCTTAACTTTCTTGGGTCATGGGCCTCTTGGAAAATATGGTGAACCCTACATACCCTTTCTCAGAAAAAAATGAGTTTAAATGCATAAATTGCATTGATATAGATTGTATTACAAATTGTTCTCCAATAGTTATCAAATTATTTAAAAAATAATGAATAGGTAATATAGTAATATATGTGCTTCTTCATTAATACATTAAATCAAATTCTGGGAAGTGAAGTCCACACGTGTTAAAGTTGCCAAGGTTGAGAAACCCTGATCTATAGAATCCCAAACCACTGACAAAGGCCAAGTTCATGCTATATATTTGGTTAATGAATTATCCCATTTCGTAAGTTCACATAATCCTCTGAACTGTATGCTAACTAAATGGGATTGTGGTATGGGTTGTTGCTGAGTCACTTAAAAAAAAACACTAAGCTTAACGTGTTGCACAAATGCAGCCATGTGAACTTTAACAGACCTGGTTCAGTCTGTATATTACAACCCTGCAGCCAAAAAACAAGCCTACAGAAATTCGTACAGAAATCCAAGTTTAAAAAAATCTCTGTTGGATACTGTAGTGGGTTTCCTAACTGAAACTGGAAAGCCTGATTATTATAAAGAGGAAAGTTTTCCTGTTGAAAATAGCATAAGAGTGAATGCCTTGGTAATTATACCAGGTTACCCCAGGCACTTATAAAATGTCCTGTAAAATAAATAACTTTCTTTGCCTGAAAAAAGAGCTAGCTGAGAATTAAAGCAATGTATAACCCACCATGATGGTCTGGAGAAGGCCTGCTGGTATAATTTGTGTGTCTTTGCTCTTTACAAAGCAGTTTCTTGCCAGCAGTGGAAGGAAGGAACGTAAACCCAGGTGTCCTGGATTTCATCAGAACTACCCCACTACCTTCAAACATGCCAATCTTTGCTTTGTTTCTTTTATGAAGAAGTGGAGGGTAGAAGATCCTTTTTGTTTATTGTACTTATTATCTACCCAATAGCCAAAGTTTTCTGGAATTGCTTAAAAACAAACATACATACATACATACATACATACATATAATAATTCATAATAAAGATTGGCTGAGTAGGATGAAGCATTTCCCCACTATTCAAGAACAAAGCATGAAGGACAATGTGAATAGAATCATCCACTTGCAAATTATCACATCATGAAGGGAAGAAATAACCTTTCTGCCAGCTCCTTAAATAGAAATAAAAATCCTGGATACTACTGACCTAAAATATTTTTCAGTGCATTAACTTACGTCATTGTTTTAGTACATTATTTAAAACAATTACATTGCACTATTCTAACCTAATTTGGGGACTGAAATGATTTAAAAAGCAAAAATAATACCAGTCTGGCCATATCTTCATTCAAGCTATAACAGGCCAAGATAAATGGAAAGTGGAGATTTTTTTTTTCCTTCCACTTTTTTTCCTTTCAGCCAAATAAGTTCATTAATTATAAAGATATTGGGAAGTCATCAGATTGCTTAAACTGCTTAGATCAAGGTTGGCACTGAATATTAGCATCTTTCATGGACCCTTTGAATTGTTCAATGAAAGATCAGATGGGATTTTTTTTTTTTAACCAGCATTATGAACTATTGAAAAAGTTTTTCCCCAACTGTTGGAATGAGATTGGATGGATTTATATGAAGTTTTAAAAATAAAAGATGTTAAGCATATTTTCCCCCAAATATCATGGATTACTTGAGCTACACTGGAATACTTATGTAAAGCTGCAACAATTGGCCCAATTTATAAGGAATATATTTTACACTCTAACAAAATTTATGGGAGCTTTAACTGTTCATCCCAGCTCAAACTGGTAAATTTCATGTAGAGCCAGAGATTCTTTGTCATTTTAACATGTAGAGTTTTATAAGGAATATTCAAAACATTTGAACATTTAACATTCAAAATATAGTCTGAGCGGATTTTTTCCCAATTTGAAACCTAAAAGTGTGAATGGTGAATGACATCCCTATTATTTTGCAGTAATTCCTTTACAGAATGTTTGTTATAAATATGCCAGCAGTGTAACAGCTGCATTTGAGAAATCTGTTGGACTTGTTCACCAACAAATTTTGGAATTTGGTTGTGACAAAAATATTAAAACTGATGTAGTAACCTCTAATCATATGGCAGAGCTCAGGTTGTAAAATTCAGAATTAATTCAAGCATTTGGTACCTGAGGAGCAAATCCAAATGGCTGGCCAACGAATCAATCCACACTGTAGTTGATTAGGTATTTAGTTGTACATATACAGTATACATGCATATGCAAGTTCCCTTTAATGTTGAAAGGGATACATTATAAAAGGTGACTGACTCTGTATTTGATTAAACATCCTTGGAGGAAAACAGGGAAATTGTGCTACATTCTGGAGCCACGGTGAAAAGGTCCTGATTGTCACTTGTACAAGCACAATTTGTTCAGGAAGGCGATTCCTGTTTCTTCCCCAAATGCATTTTTGATAAGGACAACACTGGTAATCAAAATGTGTCTGTTATTGCTTGATTTGTTAGTTCCTCCTGCATCTCAGAGGAACTAGGAAGTGCTAACATTTGTGGAACACTTCATGAGGACTTGCATCCAATTTGATGAAACACTTACCACATTGATGGATAAGTGGAACTATGAACAGAGGCCCAATGGACAATCAAGACAGATTACATAAGAGGAGCCTCAGCAAAATTTAGGAAAAAGCTCTCCATATTCATAATGTAAGAGACATAGCTGCCTTCTACCACCTGATGGCCTCAGCTATGCTGGCTAGGAAGCCCGGGAGTGAAACAATATGTGTAGAGGTCTCAGTTTGTGGAAGTTTATTTTAAAAGCAGATATGAGGAAGCTATGAACTTCCAAATTACTGAACTAAAACTCCAAGTTGTCCTATGAGGAGGATTGTGGGAAGTTGTAGTTTAGTGATTTTGAGGGCTATAGGTTCTCCATCCTGGAAGAACAGATTGATTTCTGGCACAGTAATCAAGGTAAACTAGATTCCATTTAAGCATTACCCCCCCCCCAAAAAAAATCACTCCAAAATAAGGATAAAAAGAGATGTTAAATTTGTTGGGGTTGTGAAATGTTAGTTCAAAAACCCTGAGGAGGAGAGAGGATTCATTCCTACCTCATGGAGAGCCATGAGGAGAAGAGAGGGAAAATGAGGGAAACAGGAAAAA